ATTAGCAATAGATTGACGTTTGAAATAAGGATATATTTTGCATTTCTGAATATACTTAGAATATGAATTATAAACTATAAGAACATGTAACATTATTGGTTGCCTATGAATACTCAAGATTCCATGGTGATTGAGGTGGAATAAAAACTACTTTGTGAACATGCAATAAACAGAATCTGCTCTGAAGTCTAAGAAGATTACAAAGAAGAAAACAAAACACACAAGAAACTCAATTTCTGTGTAGAATATGTTGCTATCAAACAAATATTCAGGGTTAGAACTTTTTTTCATGTGAATGTGGAAGCATCCCAACAAAGCAGTAACATATGGTGGGCAATATATGAGTCTCCTCAACTACTGTAGGCCCTGGTGATGCTATGTAGTAAGACACTAAAGTCCAATTACTTCCAATGTTTTCCCAAAATTACACCACTAGTTGTGTTTATTGGTGGTATGAACCACAAAGGAAAAAGTTCATCCCAACTGTTACAAGTCTTAGTTCTGTGCACACAAGAAACAGACATTAGATAATTTATTGGAAAAAAGATTGGGGAGGGCTTAAAAATAATTGGTCATTTTAGATGATTCTCACATTTTGAACAGGCCATTGTTTTTGAGAGGAAGCTAGGAAAACAGTGCCAGAAGCATGAAATAACTTTGCAAGCCTGGAAAACTAACTTGAACTACTTTTCTTATGACAGTAAATTCTTCAAAATCCCACCTACTTTCTTTCTTACCATTTAGGATTTGCTATTTTTGGACACTTTTTTAAATGTTTTTTAGAACATTTTATGATGAGGATTTTACTTGTATATTGTAACAAAATTAGATTCCTGGGCTGACAAATGAAATTGATATGGTGTTTTAATTACAAGTTGCACATGGTTTGTTAAGATTGCTTTCTTTAGCAAATATCTTACCTTGGTGTTAAGACTGTAGGTCTGTTTTCTTCACTGTGTGTGTATTTGCTAACCCCATTAAAAACAGATGATAACAGATCTGCCACAAACTGACAGCAACAGAAACACAGTTTAGTGTATGCAAAAAGAGTACAATTTGAAGTCGGTATCTTGGATTATGATGACATTGTAAACAGGAGAAGTTGTACTCATGAGTAACAATCCAGCTGGTTTGATACTGTAAATTATAGAAAGAAGCGAGAATTCTCTCTATAGGAGGATGGAGAATTATGTTAAAATTCCACAGGCTCGTCCTCAGGCTTCTGTAAACAGCTATGTTCTGGTCTACTCAAACTCCTTCTTCTCACAGGTGTTCCCAACGAAAGCCTGGCTAAGAATTCTAAATATTCACATTTGAGATTGGTTCCCCCCCACTATTAAAGATGAGGACTCTAAACCAATGCTTGGGAAAATACCTATCCAACGCAATTATAATGCTGATACTGTTTTGAAAGCTAACTATATCTGCCAAGTTTGACTGAAAAGCTGAACTAGGTAGATGCTATCATGAACACAGTCAAAGAAGTGAGCGAATTATCTAGAATTTCTGGCAGTGTGAGATCTTTTATTAATTGAAAATACTGGTTACACTAAAACGGCACCTGTACTACCAAGCAATTTTTTCTACCCATTCAATTTTTGCTGTAGAGAAAATGAAATCCATTACCTCTTGCCTTATTCTCTAAAAATGAAATGAAATGCCTAAATCTTTTCCTACAAAGACCACAAGACTACTAATGTGTTATACTGAGTTGTGATATATGCTATACAAGGTTTCTGTCCTTATCTAAAGATTTGGTAGTGTTTTAATAACTTTCTATTTTTATTTTATCATAAATTGCCCATTAAGAATTCAATTTTAAAAACATAATCATGTTTCACATAAGATAGAGGGGAAGCATTTGTGATGTCAAGTGCCCTTATGGAAAATTTAATTACTTTCTCCTAAAAATTAGATGAATGAATAGTATTTCTGATGCACTGATTTGTGTGTGTTAATTTTTAACTCTTTTGCAGTACTTTAAGTTTTTCTTGGTGACAGCCAAAAGCTTTCAAAAACAACTAGCAATCTTAAGTGCCCAATTTATAACACCTTAAAAGAGCTTAATTTTAAGAAGCAAATGCTTAACTGCCCTTTAACAAAACCTTAAATGCCCTTTGAAAAATAAGGTCTTTTATTCCCCCACCCCCCAAGTTAGGCAACCAAACTAATCGTTTGAAACTTTTGGCCTTATTATTCATATAGGTTTTTTCCTCCACCAAAATATAAAAGCAGCACTTAAAAGTTTCAAAGAGATTGTCGGAAATACCAGGTTAGTGAATCTCTCTCTCTCTTTTAAAAACTAAAATACGTCCCTTCATAAAAATCAGCAGCATTGGGCTAACATGTAAGAATTTTGTGCAGTCTCCAACAAATCCCAACATATCATATGTAGAAGGCAGGGCAGAGTGGCCACCTGATAGACTAACTAATTCAGAGGGGCACAAGTTTTTGTAAGCAGCTGCTCACTTTATCAGATGCTAATGTAGTATGTAGTGTGTCAAAATTCCAGAACCAACACCTGCTCATCTACTGATAAGAATCAGGGACCAGCAACTGACCTCACTGCACTGCAGATATGCCTGTGTGGGTTCACCCACACAAGTAGTCCAGGAGTGACCAAGCTGGTGTCATCTAGCCCATGGGGCTCCCCACAGGTCTGGAAATTAACTCTGTCACCATCTGCTCCACTGAAAAATTTCCAGATCCATAGGGAGTCTGTGGACTGTCTCTATGCAACTAAATGAGTCAAACATCACTGGAGTAGAGCACGTGCATTATTTTTTTTCTTCTTTAGAAAGTTAACAGGTAAGTGGTATAAAAATGACCACAAACAGAAATATAAAGAAGATGATCAAACATATTTAATATCAAGAACTGTATCCTATTCAACTAGTTTTGCAAGACGGTCCCATGAAAACAAAGATCAATTTGCTCATTACATCTTTTGCTCGTTATTTATTTTTAAAAATCCCTTCCCTTCATTAACAAGGAGAAAGTTTTTCTCCAAATGAACACCTCATGCCACATGCACATTTGGCAATCTAGACAAGTGCTAAGTAACATTACAGAGAAAAAATGTTTTTTAAAACCACCCACAAAAAACAAAGTTTATTTACATCTTGCTTTATTTGATGGAATGCATCAGCAATAAGTTCAGAAACACCTGCCATATTTAAATGGCAGAATATCTATTATTATAGAAATCACACTGGATCGGATCCTCAGTTGACAAAAAGGTAGTCAGTGTTGACCAACTAAGGAACCAGCTCACATCAAGCTACTTTTCAAAATAATTACTGTTTGTAAAGAGAGAGTTTTAAGAGGATATGCCAAGGAGAAATTTTAATATTTTCAACCTCCCTTAGAAACAAAAGTCATTTCACTTCCCTGTATTCTCTAACTATAACTCTGGCGTAGTGTTATGTTAATTTGCCTCCATCCCTCCTAACTCATTTGCTGACTGGCAGGGTACACTGTTAGCAGCCAACATTTCTGAGAGGTTCTACCTGCATGCACCATTTCTCATATTCATCTTTATGTGTAAGCAGAATTTGGCCTCTGATTTTCCTCAAGTTTGTAAAGATTGAGCCTTTGCAGAAAAGGATTTATGAAACGTGATTTTAAATCACTATTTAGATATTGAAGAAACTCTCCTCCCCCCGAGATTACTATATACAGGGATATAAATGTAAAGCCAGAAAGCCTAGTAGTGTTATCTTGGAATGAAGTTTAACTATGTAGTCAGATCCAAAACGTACACAGCCACTAGAAAGAAAGCCTCAACAGTTGTTCTCCAACTGTGGAAGCTGGTAAGACAGGAAGAAAATAATAACTAGCACTATATTACTTGGCTATTTCCCAAGCTAGTAGTTTCTGAAGGCTTTTTTTCTGGTAGTACATTTACGTAATTCAGCCATATATATAAAAATTTAATATGCCATCATTCTAATTTGTGAAAATAAGTCATTTACGGAACATAATCTAAGTACTTATCTTGTACTAGTCAGAATGGTAGACAAGTACTGTAGTTTTTCACCAAAACCAAGCCACAGGGGGTGATAATACAGCCTGATTGATGTCTTATATGTTCAGCAACAGATCACTACCTTCCTGCATAATCTAATACTCTTGTGTTTTTGCACTCCCCTACATATAACATTTTAGCATTAGATGTTGAAGCTTTCTGCCTCTGGCTCTTAACCCAGGACTTAATAACTATGTTTCTGGATCCCCATTTCAATACAGCATGTACATGCTGTTCTTGTGCTGCTGTTTTTGGCTGGTGATCATTTTTAACAGTATAGATGACCTGGAGAATGGTTTCCATTTATTGTATGAATACACTTCTGATGCATACTTTTCATTTATTGTATGTCAGTCGAAGAGCATTACAGTACCAAATACGCAGACCTAAGACTATGATTAGTAAGTATCAAAAAGATACATCCTTCACTGCCTGTTTAACTATACTGGAAATGAAGCTACTTGCATCACAGAGAAACAGTACTTCAACAAACAGACTAAAAGCTAGTGTGAGTTTAAGGGGTTCTGCTCGTAAAATTGTCCATGAAAGTTCAAGACCAAATATAGAGGATCAGCAAATTGCTTCAATATAAAAGCTATGGCAACATGACAGTATTGAGTTACATAATGTAACTAATGTAGTCAACACTTACATAAAATCTGTAGAAGAAAATACAGAACACACCGGAATTTTACTTTGCCTCTATGAAAAGTTTACAATTCTAAAACTTTGTTGGTAGATACATTTAAAAACCACAGTAATATCTGACATCCCCAATGTGGACGTTCCTGTTACAATAAATGAATTTGCAATGCACACATTAACAGGTTTCACAGAAGGTCAGAACTGTAACTCATCTAGAGCACCAATGTTAGAGATTTTTTTGTTGTTTTGTTTGTTTTATAAGCAAAAGATTCACACCCGACATTTTTTAGAACTAAATGACTGTGTGTGAATACCACTTTTTTTTTACCTCATTCTCAGTTAAGGAAGCTGAAGGAGATGAACCCTTGCTAAAAGCAAGAGTTGAAGATTCTGCTGCTGAAGCCCGATTTCGCTTCTTCAGTGGTTTACATGCATCAGACAGATTTTTCGTTGCTGTAAAATAATTTTGGTTTACAAAGTGAAGTTTGGAACTTTACAACGTTATCTCCCTGAAGCCATTTAAAAAAGTCCTTCTGATAGGGAAGGAATCAGTTAGGTCTTCTGGTCACCTATATAGTACTGGGAGTGAACATAGATTTAGTTTTGAAACAATGGTGGGTTTTGTTATGCTTTTAAGAATAAAGAGGTCTTCTATTAAACAAATATATAGTAAGAACTGTTAAATATCCCCCCCAAATAGTTTGCTAAATTATTTTAAAATTATAATACTCTGTGCCTTATGACCTTATGGGCAGATGCTATTTGCTCAGATGAATACTATATGGGAAGGTCTAAATATCACTGAAATCTGAATCTTTGTCAACAAACATTTATATACAGAGAAAGTGGATACATTAAATTAAAAATGGCAACAAGTACCACAGATATTAAGTTCAGCTCATTCTGAGGTGTATTTATGCATACTTATAAAAGTTACCTTAAACCTGTAAATCATTAACAAATCGGTTCTTTGCACCATTCACTGTACATTTTTGTTTTATAATTCCCTCTCACTCTCCACACTGCCTTCCCAAATCCTTTAAAAGGCATCTCAGATCACAGATGATCTGAAGAGTTTGACTGTTGCTTTACTTATTTTATCAAATAAATGTGTAATTAATTATGCATTTGTACAACAGGGTTGTTACTGCTGCTCTTTGATACCACCGGGGAATAGTTTTTATTTGGTGCCATCAAATGGTGAACTTGTGAACTGCTGCTTTAAAATCAGCAGTACACAATTTCAGTTGAATATGTTGCTGCAAAACAATAGCAGTGCAAAAGAATGCACCCCCCAATTTGGGGTTTTACAGGTGTAACTCATTATAGGTCCAGCAAACTTTAGTTGGCTGTCTCAGACAACTTGTTTAGTATAAATGGTTTAATTGAAAAAGTTAAATTAAAACTGATTCTGACCACATTACCTGACTGGTTCTTTTGTGAAGAGGAGGTTTCTGTGACCTTAGTAGAGTTTGTTTTTGCTGTTTTGTCATTGCTTGTCTCCCTCTGTCACAAAAAAAATGAAAAATAAAAATAAAAAAACTCCTAATTTATGAGTGATTGGAATAAGGTGGTAATTATTCCTGGATTTATGTTATTAGAAAGAAAGGGTCTCTGCAAATATCCTGCTCTGTATTCTAATGTAGTTAAGTTATGCAAGGTTCCCATTTTAGTCATGTTTATTTTTTTTCAAAACCAACTACAGCAGAGGGTAACAAAACCAGAAAACAAAACAAAAAAAAATTAAAGAACAGAATATTCCAATGTCCCGCTTATCCATCCCAAACTAAAATACATGAGTATCTGAAGATAACCACATCATGAAAAGGGAATCTCCATTTGAAGCTAAAGCATCTACATTAGCTAATCTATCATTCTTTTGTCTCTACTGGTCAAGCTAGAATCTTTAAAATTAGTAACATTAAACTGCAGCAAAAATATATAAATTTGAAGATCACCTCTGCACAAAATGTTAAACCTCAGATGCTTGTTTTCAACTTTACTACCTATAGCAGTGCCAGTTTTGCATTACTATTGTTAACGTTGTGCCAGCATTTCCATTATAAAACACTGTTTTTTTAAAGGGAATGTAAAAATGGTATGAATTTGCTTCCGACAGAAGAATCTGTCATAAAAGGTTTTAGATCAAAATGTTGGGGGAATTTACATCAGCTGTTGGATTCTGTGAACATGCATCTGGTCAAAATAAGACACTTAGCCTTACTGGCTTAAGCAACAGACCCACTCAGTCTCTTTTCTTATCTATGGATTTATTGAAGTAGAAAACCACCTAAATGGTAGCCCTGGTTGCTTTTTCTTATATGATGCTCTTCTGATCAATAGCAGTGGCATTATGGAAGAACCTGATAGCTGATATAATAAAATTATATACATTTACAAAAGGATTTTTGGTATTTTAAAGTTTTCCCCAGGCACTCCATTGTTCACTTGTAGGATACCTTAAGGCCTGGCTACAAGGAAACAACTTGTGCATGTGGTTTCTCCTGTCTTGGGGGGGAGGAAGAGGGAAGACGTAAGGGAGGGGGGAAAATAAGAGAACAAAAAAACCCAATATATCCATGACTTTAGTGGAAATCATTAGCAGTTTGTTTATGCATAAGCTAAACTATACCTTTTCTGTCTTCTAAAAAGATTATATAAGTGATTACTTGTAAATGTATATAGGTCCATCAAGTTCATACATTTTTGATGCACGCTTTATGAGATGATTGAGAATACAAGGTAAGCTTCACTCATAATGGAATCTGTCTTTGCTTTTGTTGTAAATTAAACCGTCTTTAATGTATTGTCCATTGTGCTAACATGTGCTCTACATGCACCATAAGTGATATCAACAAGCCTAATAAATTATCAAAAAGGAGTATGAATTACCACCCAGTAATTTTACATTGCAGCATTCAAATTCCATAAACAGCAACTAAGGACACAAAAAGGTTAATAGTTACATGCTGTTCCCATGCAAGAAGTAAAAGTTCATGAATAATCTTAAGGATTCTCACTCCCCAGAGAACTTAATCAAAGCCTGCCACAAGGGTGAAAAATGGAAGGGAGA